TATTTGATACCTATAAATTTCAATAAAATTCATATCATACCATACTTTAAAGAAATTCCAAATTTTTAGTCAATATAATATTTACAAAGTAACTAATTTCAAATTAGTATATAATTAATATAATTTTAAATTCAAACATATTATATAAATTACTTAAATTATTTGTATAACAACAAAAATTCCATATCAAATGATAACGCCCAACACTCTCCCCCATTAGAAGACGCCAACTCCAGAATCTCCACTCTTCATTTTTTAAAGGTAGGCCCTCGGAATCAGGCCTACCAGGGATCATGAGTCTCCTCAGCTGGAACTGCCGGGGCCTAGGCAACCCGCGAGCAGTTCCTACCCTCCTTGACCTACTAAGAACGTACCACCCCGACGTCCTATTCTTGTGTGAAACTCTTGTATCAGCTTCTCGTATAGACGAACTACGATCCCGTCTGAATTTCGACTCTTCCTTCGCGGTTAGTTGCTCCGGTCACAATGGAGGGCTAGCGTTATTCTGGAAAAAATCTTTTGCTGTCTGCTCATTAACTATTCCCCACATTTCATCAACGTGAAAGTCTCCCACGTATCCAACCCTGTTTGGCGCCTCACTAGCTTCTATGGTTTCCCCGTGGTGTATCATGGGAGACTTTAATGACCTGCTCACTGATGATGATAAACGCGGAACCCATGCACATCCTCCATGGTTGCTACACGGTTTTTGCTCTGTTGTTACAGTCGCCAATCTGATCGACCTACCCTTGGAGGGATACAAGTACACATGGGTCAAAAGCAAAGGGACACCACTCCAAATAGAGGAGAGATTAGACCGAGCTATGTCTACAAGCTCTTGGCTGGACATCTTTCCCCCACTGTAGGCTCCTCAACGTTGTGGCTATCAGGTCAGATCACTCCCCTCTTCTTCTCAATCTCTCGGGGCAAAGATACACACGCCCAAAACGTGCTTTCAGGTTTGAAAATGCATGGCTGAAAGAACCAACGTTAACACCACTAGTGACGCGCAACTGGCTACAAACACAATCTCTTGACATATTGCACAAGCTACACCATTGTGCAACAGATATGGATGCCTGGGGGAGAAAGCTCTGCCTTCACTTTCGAGCTCCAATAGAAGCATGTAGGAAACATATCCTGGCATTGAGAGACAAGCAAGACCCTGCGTCCATATCCCGACTCCTTGATTTTCAAGAAAGACTTAGTTCACTTATCATGCAGGAAGAATCTTTCTGGAAGCAAAGGTCAAAACTGTTTTGGCTCAAGGATGGAGACAGCAATACTAAATATTTCCATGCCATAGCCAGTGCAAGGTGAAAGACCAACCTCATACAGAAACTCACCCGCGATGATAATGTGGTAGTGCATGACCAACGGGGACTCATGGACGTAGCCAAAACGTACTTTGATACACTCTTCACAGCTTTCGCCAACACGATAGACCCAGTCACAGATTCTCTCTCTCAACGCATCACCACTGTAGATAATGAGAACCTCTTAAGACCATTCTACATTAGCGAGTTTCGAGCTGCCCTCTTTTCAATGCATGCAGACAAAGCGCCAGGACTTGATGGGCTCAACCCAGGCTTCTATAAGCATTTCTGGGAACTGTTGGGGCCAGAGATTTACCATGTCGGGAAACAATGGTTGGAACAAGGCTTCTTCCCAGAACCTTTAAACCAGACCAACATTGTCCTCATACCAAAAACTGATACACCATCATCTATGAAGGACCTGCGCCCCATATCAGTTTGCAACGTCATTTACAAGAGTCTCAAAAGTTCTTGCAAATCAGCTCAAAAATGTGCTACCCCAATGCATCTCCCAAACCCAATCTGCATTTGTTGAGGGACGCTCCATCCTCGACAACGTAATGGTAGCATCCGAAATAATCCACTATATGAAATGCAAACATCAAGGCCAAACAGGTACGGTTGCTCTAAAGATTGACATCAGTAAAGCCTTTGACAGGGTCAGTTGGTCCTACATACATGCTCTACTCTTGAAGCTGGGATTTCACGCTCAATGGGTAATTTTGAGTATAACATCAAATAATTCAACAATTGAAATAGTGAAATTTATATTATACAAAAAATTACTAAAGATATAAGATTTTATGCAAGTTTTTAGACTTGCACTAGGGTCGATAGATCTCAACTCTTTTCTAAAATAAATATTATTTTTTATTTTAAGAAATAGTTTTAAATTCTTTTTATCTCCTTAAGTTCAATTACATGAAAATTATTGGACACAATTGATGTTCGAATAAAAAATGAATCACAAATATGATGAAAATCATATAAAAACAAGTAAAAGAAATCTAATATCATATTTTTCTAGTTGTTCATGAAATTTACTTTTAATGCATTTTTTTACTATATTTATAACTCTGCTTAATTTAAATATAATTTCTGTGAAGTTAGTAAATCTCATAAAAGAATTAGTTTCACATTTGAAATAATTTAAAATTGAATTATAAAATTAAAAATGATCATCATTTTATAATGACTAAATTAACCTAAGTCTAAAATATAAATGAGCAAAATAATCTTTTTGAAAGATATTAGAAAAATAGTTTAACCTAAAACTTATTACATATGATAAACATTTTTTTTTAATATAATTAAAATTTATAATAAATAAATATTTTTAATATATAAAATATATTATAATTAAAACTTATAATATATAAATATTTTTTAATTATGCATAATAATTTGAATATACAATAAATAATTTAATTATAATATTAAGTTATATTTTACTGTTAATTATGAACATTTCTTTACAAAATTATTAAAATTTAATTTAGAGACGAGATAAAAAAAAGTAGATTGATAAATTATTAAAAAAAAATATATGCACTGATTTTTTAACATGAAAAATATAGGATAACATTTTATTTTTATATAAATAAATTTATTATTTATTATAAATAAATTTTTATAGATCTGTGTATTATGCTATTATTATAATTTATAATAAATATTTTTTAAGATATAAGTTATATTTTAGATTTGTAATCTATAGTTTATAATATGATATGAAATTATTTTTAATATTGATA